AACTTTAAATTTATGATGAAATGCAATAAAATAAACAAATTTAAAAGGTGAAAGATAATAATTTTCCTGCCCCTGAGCTGTTGGCTTTAAATAACTGAGCAATTTAGTTGGATAGCACAGTATTAATGTCTGAAAATAAGCTGCTTTAAAGTCAGCATCAACCATAAACTAAATCTGCCATAATGCATACTAGCTATTTACTATAAAGTCATCAGTGAGTCAAACATTATTAAGTTTACTTTTAATATTTTGGTATTTATTTCAGATTTAGTCACTTGTACAGTTAGTTCTTATCAGTGTTTCAAAGAGGACATGTTAAAACTGTCTAGTGAAACAGCCCTTCGAGGGCCACCACCATAACGCTCATGTGGCCCTCGGTGAAAATGAGTTTGACACCCCTGATCTATTGTTATGATCTGACTGAGAGACACAACTTCCTAAATATGAATCAAAAATGTATTTTTCTAGAAATATAGCTCTGAAAAAAATTGTTAAGTCTTCTTTGTTTTTTTTAAGAAGCTAGATTTTCTTGTAATATTTTAAAGTCATTTTAATCAATACTTCATCAGTTTTTGGAAGGTCTTTTAAAGTTTTTCTTTGTATTTTCAACTAATGTTTTTGTCCAATACCTTACCAACCTTGGAGAAATGTTTTTTTGTTTGTTTTGTTTTGTTTCATCTGTGAATCATTCAGGCTGAGAATGATAAAAGTTTCCTTAACTCCTTAAAAATTAACCACTGTTGATTTACATGTAATAGACAACAGGAAAAAAAAAMCTTTAAATTTGATCTTGAGAAAGATTAAAAGTCATATGAGCTCTGCCCAAATCTTTAACAGTTTGAGCAAATTGTTTTAAACCAAGTTAATCGGCAACAAATTATTTGCTAAAAATGCAGAATTTGTAATTCTTATTCAGTGTCAGTAAAAAAATACAGCTACTCAAAAAGCAAACAAACAAAAAACTACATGTATGTGTGTAAATAAGCAGCTTTAACATCAACAAAGAAGTGCTTTCTGTTTTTAAAGCTGTGTTCCACCTATGCAAAGAGACAGAACTTTTCCATGTCTGCGGACCTGTGAGCGAGCACAGCGAAGGTTCTGTCTTTCTGGATCACGCTCCTCATCATGCTGACCTCCTGCGGTCTGAAGAGCTGCAGAGGCAGTGTCTGGCCCGGCACCAGCATCACGGCTGTGTGCGGGAGCACCGGGATGGTCTGGCAGCTGTCATCATCGTGGACTGTGCGGCCATGAAACTCCTCCATGTCTGAACCCAGGTACTGTCATCACAGAAAGAAACAGTAAACAACAACATGGTGGTGGCAGAAGGAGGGGCAACGTGCATGAATGTCAAGCAGGCTTAAGGGGAAATAGTTAAGGGAACTCACAGCATGGGATGTGGGAAGACTCTGGTCAAATGTGATGATGCTGGGCTTTTCTGMCGCTTCACTGTCTCGGTCCTCAGTCTCCATGTCATCTTCCTCCTCCTCTTCCTCATTGTCTGTCATAACAAGTGTGCAAAGACACAGTGAGGCTTGTTCTCTGTCTCCTAAACAAACACTTAGCTGCAATATTACCTTCTACGAATTTCATAATTCTTCCTTTTAAAAAGTTCAGAAAAAGAGAARAGAGAAAACGAAAGCGAATGGACCATAAATCCACCACAAGGATCTGATACACAACAGTGGCCTGTATGTATAAATGTTAGCTTTTCGTGGGAGGAGAGACCAATTTCCCGTTAACACGTCGAGCTTTGTTAGTCAAGCTTTTGTTGTTACCTGGTAAAAGCTGTAGCTGGTTTCCCATGTTGTTGTTAATGTTGTCTTCACCTCCACCCCTCTCGTCAGCCATATCCTTGTGTTTACAATGCCACCTCTTCTTCTGCCGAGTTTTCTCTGCGCGACGCCAGCATGAAGATGTCAGAGCGCCCCCTGGCGACCACTCACATCAATACAGGGAAAGTTGTGGCGCAGAGGTTTGGACAAGGCGAGCCAGCACATGAAACTTGGGCGGAAAAGGTAAAACCATTAATATAAAGCCTTTTTATTATTTATATGGGTGAAACACCCAGTTGCACTACTGTCGGCCCTTAAACCTCTAGCTGCTCGTGGTAATCCACATCATTGGAAAAAATGCAGTTGGGGATATTATTTTTCATAATTATGACATTTATTGTAAAAATACAACCCAAGGATACCGTTTGGATAAGCTCATTATTTTTAAAGGATTAAATTAATATTTTGATCCAGGAAATTTAAAGTTTTATTTAATTTCCCTTTGAGAATAATAAAGCATTTTTAATTGAATTTTTAAAAATAGAACTTGAGCCCTCCCCCCGAAAAAAAGCAAACTTAACTGGAAACCTTTGGGACAATTAACAAAGCTAAAAACTTAAGTGAAATATCAAGTGGGTTAAAAATTGAGTTGTTTCATCAAAGCTGGCCTAAAGTAGCTTTCAATACCAAATGGTATTTGTCATAATCTTGCCAATTAATTTTCCATCCAAAAATCAAAGTTTGTCAGTCTTCACACTTCACCAGTATCCCCCCCCCCCATTACTGTAGTTCAGTCAGAATGTCTTACCCACACATTAACACCCTACCTTCATACAAAAGAACCAAATATAACCACAAACTAATCCAGCAAAAGAAAAACTGAAAACTGATTGAATTTACAATTTTAACAGTGTTTATTGTTCAATACACCACATCAACAATTGTAAGTAAACAAGATGTATTATGGTCCATGAACAAAGCAGCTGCAGTTGATGACGTCATTCCAGCATCTTTGCCAGCTTCCAGAGACATCCAGCGTGCTCGGTGGCAGGTGTCTGTTTGAAATCAGGATCTGGGGCTGTTGTTTCACCACCAGCAGAGGTTTGAAGCAGTAGTCATCTGGACAGGTTCAGATGGGCCCACAGCTGACTGGGATGAGGGCTTACTTTGACCTCTGCCTCATCTTTCTCCTTTTACGCTTCAGCCTGTTTGAAGTAAACAGTATGAGAAAAACTCATTAAAGGACTTAATATTTCATACTTGATTGCATATTATATATTCCTGCCAGTAAATCCGGACTGTGTCCACAATTACCTGAAACTCTGAATTAAAGCACCAAATTAGATTTTGTATAAAATAGTATTTTATAACTTTAAGCTAAACCTGTCTTTTAAATTCAGTTCAAATCTTCATTTGTCACTGAGAAATCTAAAGCAGATGTCAAATATTTTAGATTTGACAAAAAAGGTTTGTATTTTTTTCCTGCTTGTGTGGAAGTACAAATGCCAAATAAGGACTAATCTCTAATAAGACATGTTTGACATTTTATTCTATTTGGACCAAGTGAACATTAAATGATCAAAAATGCAATTTATTAAAATATATTTACATAAAATTAAAAATATTTGTTCTTTTTATTTCTAACCCCTATTGCTGCATGATTGTTTTACTTGCCAAACCCAATAACAAAATCACAACACCTCTAGATTATAAACATAAATAAGCTTGTTAGCACAAAGTATACATTAAGGCCAGAATTATTTAACTCAATAACCAGCTGAATATATACTTCTCATAGTAGGGATGTTGACATTTCGTCAGCAGCTGCCGCCATTTTCTTCCCAAACTGCTGTGACCAGATTTTGTAAGGCTGCTCGGTGCGTTTGCTTTTAATTTCCTCCTGCTTCGTTATTTCTATGAATTTTAACAAATCGGGCTGCCGTCAGGTAGTTAGCTACAGCCTCGTCTTCCGAGTTTTTAATTTATGCATTTTGAAGAGACAATTTTTTGAAAAGAGGATCAAAGTAAATCACCTGTGTTTTTCTAGTGACCCCTTAAAGAGATAAGCTGCCATGAAGAACATTATTTTATCTGCCCTTGTTCCAAATTTGATAATGATTTGAAACATCGAAGTATGTTTTATTTAATCCGGAATAGCACTTGTTAGCAAAGTGTGTTGATGCACGTCTTCGTCACTTGACACATTTAACACGCTGTCATTGGTTGAGCTTTGTTTACAAAACAGATGTCCACATGGTTTTTAAATCGTTTTAATTTCCTTACTTTCTAAGACACATTAAGTTGATGCTACAGTTTGCCTTGTAATGTTATTTTATACCTTTTTTGCTACTTTTGAATTGGCTATTATTAAGTTTTATTAGGATACAAGATGCTTCCTACAAAACCAGAATGGGAATCTTTTCCTAAAATTTCATGGCGATATCTTGAACACTGAGGAAGTTATGAGCAAAATTAGCAAACAGCAAGGTGAAATGGTCACAAAGGCCCCATTGGTTCTGCTATGAATTGCAGCAAGAAAACATGAGCTGATTTCACCTAAAAAACCATCAATAACTTCCCTCATACTTCAGATAATCACATGAATTTGGTGTTATTTTGTATGGCTTGAAATGTTCTTTTGGAATCCGCTGTCAGATTTAATATTGGTGTAGGATTAAAAAATTATCCACATCCCTACTCATGGTATGACAATTGTTGAATTACATCTGGGAGGCTTAAATTAAATAAAAATAAGCACAATTACAGCCTATAACTCATTTCCTACACAGGTAAATCAGTCCTTGGAATTAGCTTGACTTAAGAAAAAGCAAACTCATGCCTATCAAGACAATTTGTTGAAAGCCTGGTTCACTTCTATTTAATAAGTYTGTATTTAAAGTGGCTTGGCAGAAAATGCTTACCTGCGCATACGCTTCTTCCTCCACTGGAACAGGACATTAGAACACAAAATCAAATTTTGTTAAACCTTTAACAGCATAATTAAAAAAGCAAAGACAACCTTATCACTTCCACAATACTTGAAATAATTATTAGGCTAACAAATCAGACARGTTTACTAGTAACCAGCAGAATGCATGCAGGCCTTTTTACACATTAACTAAATTAACGACTTTTAGCACATTATATAGAATTACAATAAAAGCTGCATTAAATACAGGAACAAACACATACAGCAAAAAAACAAAAATAAAAAATAGCATGTCCTTCCACCAAGCGTGGTTGTGTACTCAAGGGTGCTACAAGCTAACACTATTGTAGCAATAGCAGGAAACAAATCCCAAAATTACAAACATAACATCTGCAGCTTACCTTAGCTCTCATCGTGTGGAGAGGTTCTGTAAAACATAGAACAAATTAATAATTAGAAAATGCAGATGGCCTCCAATATTGAAGGATTAGTTTGGATTTTGTTTGCGCTGAAACACAGCATCTTACCTCAAAGCGAGAAGAGCAACGGAAAGAGGACGTGACGAAGAAAGAGTGCGGCTTTTATAAACTCGTGACGTCATATTTAAGCGCCGTTTCACGCGTGGGGAAATGTAGTTCCAACCAGATTTATAAAGCCTTAATACCTAAGGTTCCAACAGACATGTCGGCTTCATATATTGTATTTATCAATTGTTAGCAATTTTAATTAATCATTATATCATTAAAATAATAAAAACTGAATTTAATACTTCTAGAAGAAAGTTACTAACGTTTTAACAGCCGTATTATCTCAGAAATGGATGTTTTACGTTCAACTCGTTGAACTTGTTCAGCGAACTTTACAATCAATATATTTCTTCTCTTTGGCTCACTAACAAAATGTCTGCAAAACACACTACAACTGTGATTATCAACTGGTGCCTCATGCTGAAGTGTTGGTTTGACCAGTGGAGTGATATTATACAACTAAAATTATTTAGTGAATTTGAACATAAATATTTTTATCACTTTTATGATAAAAAAATCATATGAATGTAAACAAGAAAAATATATAGTTTGTACCAAATGTAATGTAGTCTCTATCATTCTTCTCAGCAACTTGTCTTGCAGGTTTTCCAAAATATTCTTGATGGATTTGAGAAAAAAAAAATCATACTAGGCTGGAAGTTGGATTATTGAAGTGGCCAACAAACTAATATGACCTAGATTTTGGATTTCCTAAATCCATGTTTGTTAAAATAACATTTTGTGCATTTAAATGTTAAACATTATCAAACTGACAAAAGAAAGACAATACCACAAAAGACCTTTGTGGACCGAGGGACTGCAACCTGCAGCTATGGGGCCACATGTGTCCCTTTGGTCCCTCTGTAGTGGATCAAAGCTTTGACCAATTATAKTATATCCACAACAGAAAATAACTTTAGCAGTTTATTCTAATTGTTGGCAAATATGTTTGAAACTACTAATACAAGGAGTGAAACATGCTTTTAGATTGAAATTTCTAGTCCAAGCAAAGAGGATCTGCTATTGGATGATTGCAAACATGGAAGAAAAAAAAGGCAAATTTGTTCCCCACAAGAGATAAATCTGACATTGAATACATTTTTTTTTAAATAATCTAGTGCATAATTATCCAGAAGTGTTTTATAATAGAGTTGTTGCAATCTGGGGGCCAATGAGTTCTGTTCATACTATTGGTGAATTTATTTAAATAAAACCTAAATTCATAAATTTAACTTGTGACAATAATTGGATGTTTGACTCCTGTTAGCTTACAAAAACTGTGGCCTCCTGAGTAATTTAGTTGAATATTCCTGGTTTAGAAAACCATTTAAAGCCTTGAATCTGTGCTCGTCATTTTAACATTTAAAGATACTGAACACAAAGCAACATACATCAAAAGCTTCTTGTTCAAATCGGCATGTTTCAGTATTCAAATCTTGAGACTGTTTCTTAATCACAAAATCAGAAATTGACAAATTAGTAAAAATATATATCCTCAAGAAAATAAAAACACAAAAATGTATGAAAACAATTTTATTTCCTCAAAGTTCCACCCCTTCAGTGGTTGAACTAAAAAGCAGGAGTTTGCTTCCCCACTAGATTTATTTCTGGACAAATGTTAACATTATCTCAGACCTCAAAATAAAACTGACATGAAATATTTCAGGTCCAGCTCTACTGAAGAATCTCTCCAAAACAGCTTTAGTCTTCATGCTTCACAAGACCAATGTTCCAGGTGTCATTGATAGAAAAGTTTATTTTTTTAAGTGGAGTACAGTTGTTTTACCATAAAAGGGAAATGGCAGTCAGTGTAGCAGTTTGTTCCCTAAAGTCAAGTTGATTTTTAAACTTTTTGTACATTTAAAAATATTCACTCTACTATTTGGGTTATTGCTTTAAAATCTAGCATGGTTAAAAAAAACTGCAGTTTAAGTCAAAATAGTTGCTATAATAGAGTTGTTACCATCTATTCATAAAATCTGGGGCAAACCATTTCCAATTTTTCATTTCTAATATCAAGTTTGGAAACTCCTTGATTTTTAATTATAATGGCTGAAAAAAAAACATAAAGTAACCCTTTACTGCATCATATTGCCAAGAAGTCACATTTTTAATTAGATGTTTAGTTAATTTCTTAAAAAAGAGAAATATATTTTTTTGAATATCTCCAAAAACAGAACTCAGCTGACTTTAAATAAATGTTTTGAGCTACAGACAAGTTTAAATGCTTCAAGAATGATGCATAATTCATCTGTTGGTCAAGCAAAGAACAGATCCACAGTATCAAACTAAATGCAATTCGTGATTCTCACAGTGAAATGTCAATTAATGTAAGCCAAGGAAGTTATTTAATAAAAAAGCTAACTTAAAGATCAACATGTTAGTTTTTATAAACAAGGATTAGTTGTTTTTGTCCTGTTTTCTATGACAGGGGGATAAAACTTGATAGTATCAAACAATGCAGTAAAGGGTTAAATTTCCATGTAGGATTTCAGAATAGTATCATCCCTTTAGGTCAAATCTACCAAATGCAAAACGAGCAGGTCCAGGAAACCATGTCGTTTTTATTCTCTTTCTTGTCTTTGGGGTCTTGCATGTGTGAAAAGGCAGTTTTTATTCCGCAGCTTCTGTGTCCTCAGTTGACTGTCCAGTTGCATTTTCTGCTGTCTTTGAGGCCTAAATGACGTAGAACAAAAGGCAGACATTAAACAAATGTGACAACAAATAATCAAAAATAAATATCAGCACTCTCAGGGCTAATGGTTTGTTGGTTCTGTGCAACACCCAGACCTTCATCATAATCAGACTTACCTTCTTTTTCTTCTTCTTCTGTGTTTTACGGCTTGCAGAGCTCTGTAGTAAAGCCTAGAAAAGAGAGAAGCTTCATAAATCAAAACGTCCCAGAACTCATTTTGGGACTGAATCTCCACAAGTGTGGAGTCGCTCTCACCTTTAGTTCTGGATCTTGAACTTCGTGCTCCGATTTGTAGAACTCGGGGTCGAGGGGTCCAGTTGTGATTCTATGAGGGCCGTTGGCCATCAGCAGCACTGTGAACTTAAACTGTGCTACAAACTCTCCTAAAAAAACAAGAACAGAGCGGAAAAAATAATAAAAACTGGTGTCCAATATGAAAACGTGAAGCACGCTTAACAGAGAAGTAAAACACTCACCCTCTTTTTCATGCAACACACTGAAGGGTTGCAGCAGCTCATGTTTGGCACACTCTACCACTCCCAGACGGGCTTTGGCCTCATCCTCAAAAGCCCTGATGGCATCAAAAAATGACGCATTTAATTTCTATTTCTTGTCAATGAAACTTTCAGCAGTGTGCAAAATGTAAAGTTTTACATTCCAACCTAAGAGTGAAGGGCATGGCATCAAAACGTCGCTCCACTTCGCTGAAGAAGGTACGAGAGGTCTTCATTTTCAAGCCGTACTGTTTATTGGGGTCCCGCTTATAAATTGTGGTCCTCAGACCTGAATCTCTGGCCTGAAAGAGAGATGAGACACTTAGCAGGATGCCCACAGTTTAAGTGCAAATCAACAAAAGAAACATGAATGTGTAAAGATGACTGAACAAGATGCTAACCTTCCCTTCACCAGTGCTAATCAAGACATCCACAGCATAAACTTCATGAACCTCAAACTCTGCCTTCTCATGGTCCTTCCTGAAAAAACAAGTACATTCACAAAAAACTTTTTATATCTTCACCATCAACCAAAACCTCATTATAATCTGTAAAGTTTACAATGTAAATAAAATTTACATGATTCAATCTAACAATTATTTTTGTCTTCATGACCTGAGTGTACTGTGATTGAAAACTAAGTTTCCATTTAATTAAACTATTTTCAAAACAATTTCAGAACGAGAACACAAACCGTTGCAGCATGAAAGGAGATTTTTGTTGTTTTGTGCAATTTTTTAAAAGATTTTAATTTGTTCAACTAAAATTAGRCTGGGGACAAGATTTTACAATTCAAACTAAATGTTGCAAACAAATAAATGTTCCTGGTTTTTCTCACTGAGATGTAAAGTTTAAGTTACTTCAAGATGACAAACACATTGTGTTTTCCTTCATAGTAAAAATTTTAAAGACGTTACTTTAAAAAAAACCTTGTGTGTTTTACTGTGTTATATTTGATAAAATACCTTTGTTGGTCTGTTGGGTTCTGGATGATGGTTTTCTCTCCATCTATGACATGCTGTTTTAACTGATGAGACAGCATACCTTTATAACAAAAAAAATTACAATCATTTAATTGAATCATCATAATTTTCCTCCTTTCAGTACACAACAAATACGCAGAAAGCCAAAAATGCACAGTCTGATAGACGTTCACCTTCAATAGGTGAGCATTTGAACGACTGTGCGATCTTGTTCCAAGCTTCTGTCACTTGAGTGTTCTGTAAGAAATAGATGTGAATAAAGAGGTCTGTTCATTTAAAAACAACTGTCGTTGGCCAAAGTGTTACACACACACAGACACACACATAAAAAAAAAACAACAACATCAAAACGAAATACTGAGTATAAGAGACAAAAAAACCTGTAAAAAATAAAGATATGACATAAAACGAAATCATTAAAAACGATGCAAAAATGTAAATTCTCATTCTGCATTAAAACCAGTGAGTACACTGCAAAAACTGTCCAACTTACCAAGTTTTAAAACCTTATATCCAGCCAGAAAGTCTTTTTGATCTTGTTTTGAGACTGATTTACTAAACAAGAACTGAAGATTATCTGTCTTGGTAGTCTGAAAATTTGACTCAAATTAAGTCAAAACTTTCTGCCAATGGAGTAGGAAATTTTACTTGGTAAGATTCTTGAAATAAGAAAAAAATTGAGTCAAATCAAGTATTTCAAGAATCTTACCAAGTAAAATTTTCTTACTCCATTGGCAGAAAATTTTCACTTAATTTGAGTCAAGTTTTCAGGCTAACAAGACAAATAATCTTACACATTCTGAAAACCAGATTATTATTCTTACACAATCAGTCCTTGTTAAGAAAATCAGTCTCAAAACAAGATCAAAAAGACTTTTTGGCTGGATATAAGGTTTTAAAACTTGGTTAGGTGGACATTTTTTGCAGTGTACAAACAAGTTTTTTTTTTAAAGATGTGATTTAAAAACATCAAGAGCTGAAGCTTGTCTGACACAGAGGAGAGCTGGTTCCCCTGTTTAGGAGCTAAAGAGCAATTTTTAAACTAATAAATATTTAGCAAATTGCTCTTGAACTAAAATAAAAAGGAGAAGGTAAAATATTATTTTTTACACATTAACAAATCTAAAGAAAAATCCAGAAAATGTGATTCAAATTAATCCAAATCTGCTCTGGATAAATATAAAACACTGCACAAGCTAGGCTTCACTATAAAGGCCAACCCATGAACCCATGTGATGACGTGTTTAAACACACCTGATTACCAGGCTTCACAAGGCGTAGAGCTGCTTCTGCACATTGATAGGCTGCTTTGATGACATCAGCCTTTCTGCCTGTGATAATGTTCTCCTGCGGAAATAAAACAGGTTAGTAAAGTTTAAACAAGAATACATAGCTTTGATAAATCTCTTATTTTTAAACACTCTCACCTTGCTGGCTCCCACAACAAAGCTATGAGCAACATTGGCAATGAAGCCATCAACGTGAACCCCGAGATCTCTGAACACAAAATAAGACGAGAGAGGGAGAGATAATCAAACAAAGGAAAATGATTATGTTCCACATTTAGTTCAAGCTCAGCTGCTACAAAAACAGCTGAGCAGGAGAAATAAAATATTAAATAAAATATCTAAAGACTAAAGAGCAAAGGCATATTCAGTACAATGTAATTTGGTATAACTAATTAATTAATTATATTCCAAGATAAAGTTTTTACCCGTTTCACTGAGTGAATCAAAAACTTGGGAAACTAAAAACACACAGGAAAAGGACAGGGTAACAACAATCCTGAACAGAGTGCCTACATTTTGACAAGATCTCCATCTTTAAGTGTGTAGTCTGGGTCACTCTTCAGGGGAGAGAAGTGGCAAACACAGTTATTAACTGAGATGCTGGTGGGAAAGGCGATGCCTAGAGGGGGAAAAAAAGTAATCATTTGAACATCATCTTAATATGCTGGAAGCATGCTTTATAAATAGATGGAGGCAGTGACATTTGTACTGTAGTCATTTTTTTTACCACATTGGCTGTCAGATGATTAAGCACATCCTGGATGTATAAAATAACATCAAATGCCCCTGATCTACCAAGATAGGGTCACCTCAGCTCATTGCCTCACCTTTCTTCATTTCCTTCTCCTTCTTGAAGACTTTTCCAGTCTCAGCCATGATATAGGCGTCTCCTAACTCACACAGGCTGAGCACAGAGAACCCGGGTTTTGCTGCATCGATGACTCGACGGAGAGCCTCTGCGGTGACACATTCAGTATGCAAATAATAAAAAGAGCAAAGAAAAGGAAAGTCGATTAGTAGAYGCACCAACGTGATTTTAATATAGAAAAGCGTCAGAAATCACACCGCTCAGATAACATTTCACAGAAAAAYGCAGCATATGGCTTATGAGTGGTCACAAATATACAGTAGTTCTAATTAAAATGACTCTATAATAACTGTGATATGCGTAATGGGACTGAACTTGACACAGAAGCTGTGCTACATTCACCTACGGTCTTGTGTTACGGTTTCATCTTTTGTGTTGTAATACCACTGAGATGGCTTTACTCCTGTAATTATCTGCAAGTACACTGCAGGTTAGCAATGTAAGCCTTGATGCAAGATACAGTCTGTCTGGTCGGACTTATTACAAAAGCAATTTCTGCTTTAAGCAGTCATTTGTGCACGTGTAATAATACGTTAAGCATCCTCGTACAGAGCAAGAGCCCTTTCACAAATGAGCCATGTAGTTTTTGGATTGTCTACTTGTCTCATATATGTCTATGTTTATGTTTTATGTGTATAAAAACACTCTTAAGGTATGTAATGTGTCTTAACAATATTATAATTGAAAAACCTAATTTAATCAATAAGCATGTCTGGATTATGGTTCAAAATGCACGGTTTGAGTGTCACAACATACCTGAATAATGTAATGTAAAATAATAATACAGGACTGTGTTATAACAGTACATTCACTGATGTGACTTTAAATCATCTTAAACTCAAAATTTAAACTGATGGCATGTCAGAAAAAACTGCAAAGAGCAGGACTAATTTATCATAATACTGAGTTTTAAACCATTAACATATGTGACAAACTTCCTAGTTTTTGTTTTATAATCTGTCTAAAAGTAAAACCAACATTATACTGCCTTTAAAAAGTTTCTTAATGGTTTACTGGATGACGTATGTCAGTTTACAATGGAAAACTTTACATTACTCCGTCTGTCAAATTTCTTAATGTATCGTTTATTACTTTTGACAGCAAATAGTTTCTGGGTAAGTTAATTTTTGTTAATTTATTGAAAAATAACAAGTGGTCGACAGCATAATGTTAAAAAATAAATATTAAACGCCAGTATGAGTTCGTTATATGACAATAACATTACACTTGGGAAAAGTAAAGGACGAACAAAGTATTGAGTCTAGCCTCATATTTGTGACTCACCCCGGTCAGCTAGTTAGCTTTTATCTGCACAGCCGCACTTCAAGCCCAGCTAGCTCGTTAGCTAGCATCCCACGTTAGTTGGAAGGCTCCCACCAGCTAAGCCTAGCCCTAACCTTGATTAGCATCGGCTAGCATGGATCGAATTRGTCAGCTAAAAGAGGAGAAGCTGCACCTGTTAGGATAGCATACGTGTGCCTCGAATGAGAAACCACATGGCAGCTGTTAACGCCGCTACCGCTGATAGTAGACCTACGTTAGCTGGCAGCACTAATACAGGCCGAAAAGGGCAACTTGTTCCGTCCGGCTAATAAACTCTATTAACTTACGGTTAGCGATGTCACCGCCCATCTTATACTTGGTGACCACCAGGTCCTCGGCTATAGTTTGCTCTTGCTCCTCGTCAGACATTTTGGCAGTGAAGATTCAGTCGCTCCTCGACCCGGGGAAGCGGCTGCACGTCTCTACTGAAAATATGCTCGGCTCAGACCGCTGCACYGAGTGCACGTTGCTGCCGCGCGAGCCTCCGGCTGCTCAGCAGGCTCCTCCCACTTCTACTCTGCTACGTCACAAGGGCCCCCAGCCCGCCAAATTACAGAGGGAGGGCAAGATGTCATCTAACCTTTTTACAGTATTCGCACATGCAAAATCGGGCACGGTATTAAAGGTCGGCGTGTAACTGTATTTTTTGTCCACCTGTTAAGTTTTTGCTAATATATATATTTAACAATTTGACAGGTGCATCATCCCAGTGAAACTTCACCTGCTACAGTCCTGGGTCACAYCCAACACAGCGCCAGAACTGAGAGCCCACTTGCCCACCTCCATACCTCATGAATGAGTGAAACAACAAAAAAAGTAAGACTATTTCACTGTGGTCGACATGTCTATGACAGGGTTCCCACGGGTCCTTGAAATCCTTGAAAGTTTGTGAATTTGAAAAATTGTTTCAAGGCCCTGGAAAGTTTGTGAAAACAGCCAAAAATTACACATCGTCCTTGAAAGTCCTTGAATGTTTTTTGGGGGATTGAAATTCTATATTCACACGACTGATTTTCATCATCTTTTAAAAGAAATTAATTATAAAATTAAATTTAAAAAAAGTACATTTGTTGAGGTGGATAACTTAGGATTACGGTAAACTGACGTCGTTTCTAACTCAACTATTATGTTGTTCAGTTTTTCATTGAATTTACATGATATTAAGAGGTAAAAAGATATTAAACCTGGAAACGTTATGCAGTAGCAGTAGGTAATTGCCCTTGCGTGTGGTTCTTTAATTTGAGGAAATTGGTACTGGAAAGTCCTGGAAAGTCCTTGAATTTGATGTTGACCAATGTGTGGGAACCCTACTATGATGCTCTTAGATGTTTTGGATTGCACATGCACAACATTAAGCATAAATAGCTGCATTTGTTAATGTTCTCCAGCTCCTGTAGTAATTCTTACTCTGCGTTTTGTTCAGAAGTGAGGGAAGATGTACTGATCAAACATATTTTTAAGTCAATGTATTTATTATGTGAACTATCTCAGTTTTATAAGTTGGAGATGCTATCCATCCATCCATCCATCCATCCATCCATCCATCCATCCATCCATCCATCCATCCATCC